TATACCTCCCTAGCTGTTGATCTCTGTGTGTCGTGAAGAATACAGCCCAATAAGTGAGGATATGCAATAGACCTCCAATGTCACAAGACTATGGGGCTGATGTAGCTGCATTTCTATTAGTAATTATGCAAAGAGTATTATTATTAGATAAAAGTGCTGGGCATAACAGCTGTGTATCATTTTTACCTAACATTTTGTCTCAGATGATGTAAATTAAAAATAACACTTTATTGCTTTGCTGTTTCGAAACCTATGTTTCTGGTGTTGTATATAATATAATGTAATGTAATAATAAAAAACATCATTAAGAAGTAAAAAAAAAAAGGTCTAAACCATGCCCATTTTAAAATATTCTGTGCAATGGAGGGGGCACTTTGTAACTTGGAAATTCTGATTTCTAAGCCTAAAGGACCTAGGAGATTGATACCTTTTTGATCTCTCATTTTTCTGGTGGTCTATTCGCAGAGTGGCAGAGCTCAACTGCAGACAGCATAGCTCTCATTTGTCCTTTAACTGCCAGGACCCACCAGCTATAACATATACAATTAGCATTGGATGATAACCTAATGTCTACGTGTCTTCTATTGTTCAGCAGAGTGTAATAGTGTACATAAAATGGGAATGAGCTATAGTGTCTGAAGCACAGTTCTCCCTTCATCCTGTCAGACCTCCAACATTTTCCACCAGTGCTCAAGGAAATGTAACAAGATAGAAAAGTGTGACTTCAAATATTTTCATACTTGGAGCCTCCATGTACTGATACCTCTGTACTCCATGTTATTGGAAGGTAATTTTTACTAGTAAACAATGAGGAACATGGCCAATTCCACTGGAGGGAAATGTTTGTTGGAATTCTAGGAAAAAAAGAGTATAAAGACATTCAGTACAAATATTGAGACAACCAGTGCTTTCTTTCACCACATACAAAAAGTATGTGAACCCTATGGAATGATATGGATTTATGCACAGATTGGTCATAAAATGTGATCTGATCATGATCTAAGTCACAACAATAGACAATCACAGTCAGCTTAAACTAATAACACACAAAGAATGAAATGTTGCCATGTTTTTATTGAACACACCATGTAAACATTCACAGTGCAGGTGGGAAAAGTATGTGAACCCCTAGACTAATGACATCTCCAAGAGCTAATTGGAGTGAGATATCAGCCAACTGGAGTCCAATCAATGAGATGAGATTGGAGGTGTTGGTTACAGCTGCCCTGCCCTATAAAAAACACACACCAGTTCTGGGTTTGCTTTTCACAAGAAGCATTGCCTGATGTGAATGATGCCTCGCACAAAAGAGCTCTCAGAAGACCTACGATTAAGAATTGTTGACTTGCATAAAGCTGGAAAGGGTTATAAAAGTATCTCCAAAAGCCTTGCTGTTCATCAGTCCACGGTAAGACAAATTGTCTATAAATGGAGAAAGTTCAGCACTGCTGCTACTCTCCCTAGGAGTGGCCGTCCTGTAAAGATGACTGCAAGAGCACAGCGCAGACTGTTCAATGAGGTGAAGAAGAATCCTAGAGTGTCAGCTAAAGACTTACAAAAGTCACTGGCAAATGCTAACATCCCTGTTAGCGAATCTACAATACCTAAAACACTTAACAAGAATGGATTTCATGGGAGGATACCACAGAGGAAGCCACTGCTGTCCAAACAAAACATTGCTGCATGTTTACAGTTTGCACAAGAGCACCTGGATGTTCCACAGCAGTACTGGCAAAATATTCTGTGGACAAAGTTGAGTTGTTTGGAAGAAACACACAACAACACTATGTGTGGCGAAAAAAAGGCACAGCACACCAACATCAAAACCTCATCCCAACTGTGAAGTATGGTGGTGGGGCTGCTTTGCTGCGTCAGGGCCTGGACGGATTGCTATCATCGAAGGAAAAATGAATTCCCAAGTTTATCAAGACATTTTGCAGGAGAACTTAAGGCCATCTGTCTACCAGCTGAAGCTCAACAGAAGATGGGTGTTGCAAGAGGACAATGACCCAAAGCATAGAAGTAAATCAACAACAGAATGGCTTAAACAGAAGAAAATATGCCTTCTTAAGTTGCCCAGTCAGAGTCCTGACCTGCAGGGAGACATGGGGACACTGGGAGAAACTAGGGGACACTGGGTGACCTGGGAACACAGACACTTGGGGACACTGAAACATTAGGGAACACTGTGAGACACTAGGCACTTGGGGACACTGGGAGACATGGGGACACTGAGACACTGTGTCCCTAGCGTCTGTGTCCCCATGTCTCCTAATAACCCCTAGTTTCTCGGTGTCCCTAGTGTCTCAGTGTCCGCATGTCTCCCACTGTCCCTATGTCTCAGTGTCTCCCAGTGTCAAAATGTCTCACAGTGTTACCATGTCTCTTAAGTGTCCCCTAGTGTCCAAGTGACACTGGGCAACATGGGGACACGAGGGGACACTGGGAGACATGGGGCACTGAGACATTGTGATACATTGGGACACTGTGTTACACAGAAGACATGGGGACATGAGGGGACACATGGGGCACTGAAACACTTTGATACATAGGGGACACAGACACTAGGGGATACTGGGAGACATGGGGACACTGAGACACTGTGTCCCTAGCATCTATGTCCCCATGTCTCCTAATGTCCCCAAGTCTCTCAGTGTCCCTAGTGTCTCAGTGTCCACATGTCTCCCACTGTTCCTATGGCTCAGTGTCTCCCAGTGTCCCCTAGTGTCAAAATGTCTCACAGTGTTACCATGTCTCTTAAGTGTCCCCTAGTGTCCAAGTGACACTGGGCAACATGGGGAAACGAGGGGGCACTGAGACATTGTGATACATAGGGACACTGTGATACATACAAGTCATGGGGACATGAGGAGACACTGGGAGACACTGGTAACAATCCATCTTTTATTCAGCAGAATAAATAGGAGTAGTTTTTTTGGTGATTTTACAGAATTTTCTCTTAGGTCACTCCTTGTGATTTACACACATACATAATTAATTATGCAAATTAGTAAGGCTGGTATTTTTTTCCAAGAAAGGTGGCAACCCTAACTATCCTTCACATACTCTTGCTTAAGTATGGAAACTTTAAAGGGATGTATGGTGAACAAAACTTTTGCGGACTGGCTGACAATGAAATTAGTTAAGGTAAAGCTGACTTTGTGCACTAAGCAAATGATCTTGCTGCTTCAGTCTCTCTAACAATGTGACATGTTCCTTTTCTTCTGCACTCACTACATGCAGCTGTTCTCTGTCCCAGACTATATACCAGGAGCTTTTGCCTGCTAGTAAAGAGGTTATAGACCAGCGAGTGCTAGGGCACAGTCCTTAGAAATCGTGGAGCGAACTCATCGTTAGACACATTTATGCCAAGCTCAGGGTGCTGTCTGCATAGTTTGCCCTTAGTTGGCCAGCCTGCATGATTGGCAGGCAGCCTGACATGCATTCATGCCATGCTGGCCTTCCAATTCATTAGGCAGACACGCCTGCTTTTAAAGGCATGTTCGCCTTTTTCGGCAGTTATGAATTACATGATTTGCGTCATTGGCCCACCCTGTCCTGCTTCACTGGACACTGCTGTTAGGGGTATGGATTTACTTGAAAGATTAAAGTAAGAGATTAGCATAGTGTGTGTGTTTTCAGAGAGCAGCATCCTGTGAGCTTCCCTCCAGCACCACCTCCACCAGATACATGACGATTGGTAGTTATGACTGTTTTAGTGTTTTTGGTCGATAAGATTCTGTAATTAGGCCCATCATAATTGTCAGCACCAGGCCCACTGGGATCTTAATCTGGCCCTGCTCCTGACCGTTGTGCACGTCTGATCTGCAACTATAGGAAACGTTTGGTTGAAGTTATTGCTGCCAAAGGAGGTTCAATCAGTTATTAAATCCAAGAGTTCACATACTTTTTCCTCCTGCACTGTGAATGTTTATATGGTGTGTTCAATAAAAACATGGCAACATTTCATTCTTTGTGTGTTATTAGTTTAAGCAGACTGTGATTGTCTATTGTTGTGACTTAGATGATGATCAGTTCACATTTTATGACCAATTTGTGCAGAAATCCATATCATTCCAAAGGGTTCACATACTTTTTCTTGCAACTGTAAGTATTCATATTTGTAAGGTAAATAAATGAAAATTGCCTTCAGCTTCTATGCTTCATGAACATCAACCATCAAAAGCCTCTTTTTATGCCTTTTCTAAACATGAAACCACAAATTTTGAAATCTCCTTAACATCTCCCACATGAGCTCAACATCTCAGTCTATGTCATATCAAACTCAGGTATGTTTTTTTTTCTCCTCCCCTTTTAATACTCTCATCATTGTCCTTCTCAGTGATCACTAACAAAGTGGAGGAACTCACCCTTTATACTGTCAGCTGTGCAGAGGATGTGCTCTCCGTTTGCATTTATCTTTTCTTTGATTCTTCATTACCTAAGTGCGCTAATATCAGCGTTTAACAGTGATTATGTTTTTTTAATCATACAGCATGCTGAGAGAGCATGCCTCCCAACATTTCAAATAGACAAAGATTGACACCTTTATTCTAGTGGTATGAGTGGTGGTGTCAAAAGGGGCTGGGGCTATTCTGAGGCATGTAATCTAGAGCAAGAACAATGTATCTAATTTAGATATACTAATTTCTAAACACATTTTGTAGTTTAAAATACATTACTGGGAATATTAAAGAAACACTATAGGGTTTCATATCTCTGCCCTTAGATAGGTCCTCCTCCTGCCAGTTTGCAATAAAAAATGTAAAAATAAATTATATACTTCTACCACTGCTCACCTTTCCACCTTCCACCACATTACGGAGAAGCTATGACATCCTCCATGATGGTCCAATTCAATGCTTCTCATAGACGAGAATTGGGGACTAGTGATATCCCGAACGGTTCGCCGAACAGTGCGCCTCGGACGGCGAACATATGCGCTGTTCGGTCCGCCCCTATGTCATCATTGAGTAAACTTTGACCCTGTACCTCACAGTCAGCAGACACATTCCAGCCAATCAGTAGCAGACCCTCCCTCCCAGACCCTCCCACCTCCTGTACAGCATCCATTTTACATTCATTGTGAAGCTGCATTCTTAGTGAGCTATCCAGGAGGTGGAAGGGTCTGGGAGGGAGGGTCTGTTGCTGATTGGCTGGAATGTGTCTGCTGACTGTGAGGTACAGGGTCAAAGTTTACTCAATGATGACATAGGGGGCGGACCGAACAGTGCATATGTTCGCCGTCCGTGGCGAACCGTTTGGCGAACCGTTCGGGACATCACTATTGGGGACCTAATGTGCATGCACTGTGAGTGTTCTGCATGCATTTAAGCTTCCATGTCATGTGACTGTGTTTTACTCTTTCTTCGCATCAGAAGCACCACTACTGACTGGCAGTATGACAATCACAAGACGTGCACATATCCCTGCAATGTAAAAATAGCCGTTTCTAAGAAAAAGGCAGAGTTAAAAGGAACAGGACCACTGTGAAGTGGTCTGGGTGACTGTAGTGTTCCTTTAATCATGTGGAGCTCTGTTACACACTCAGACACACCAATAATATAGAGTGCCTAAAAAAGAGAGATATTAGGATAGAAAAGAGGGACAGAGGGATTTGACACCCAAATGGGAACTGCCCCTCCTAAATATAAGCACTTGGGATGTAAGAGAGTTGATGCATAATTTATTTGTATCAGACAAAAAAGCTTCAAAAATCAAAATGCACAGTATGTTTAAATGAATGATGGTTAAATAGTTTTAAAGTATTTTTATTTCTATTACTTGAGAGTTAAATAAGCACTCCAGGATGGAACTGACCCTCATTCTGAAGTGTGTGTGTGTGTATAATTTTAAAAAAAGTATTTTATTTATTTATTTATTCAAAAATAAAGAAAAGTTATAAAAATTAAAGAAGTCCCTGTTGTTTATGCAATTCTAAATATCTTACAGTTTTACAGTTCCCAAAAAGCAGAACACCAGGGAACAAACCTGGGACAGCAGGAAAAGGCCCTGATATCAATACTGTCCAACTGTATTTGGGACAGTTTGAAGACATGGTGTAGTATGCTTTTGGGTAACCCTACCCTTTTCATGTAGAAATTTTCCATTTAGATAAAATGGACACCACATTTTAGAACAACCACTAAAATCCTCAGGATTCTAAGGATGAGGACATGGAACTAAAAGCTCATGTGTGTAGATTGAAAACAAATATCCAAGGATGTTCTACTTTTATTGCAAGTGGAAACAATGATAATTTTCCAAGCTGTTCAAATGCATGTAGTAAATTAGCATTTTTTTAAAATGATTATATATTTTTTATTTTTTTTTATTTTTGCAATGCATAAGATGAATACAGACAAGCTTGAGGTACCTCAATGGCAATCCTCAGGCATCATTGTTACATGTGGGGTAACGGGAAAAACGCGCACTATTTTATAGTATTAACAAGATAATCATGCATAGGTAGGTATGTCAGCGTGTCAATAACGTGAAGCAAAGTGTTAAACAGGCTATGTTAATTGACAACACTATTAGTGATAAACAGTTGTTTAGGCATAGTAAGATTCATTATGAGTGTTGGGGGTTGAAGTTTGGGAAAATTACGCCTTTTCAGCTGAACACCTTAAGCAAACATGGCTTATACTTCCCAACTCACAAACATTTCTAGAGGCATGTAGGTTCTTTAGGTAGGGTGGACATATATCTAACATGGATAACATTGTGATCAAGGTGCTCGTTATGGTTGTATGCCACCCGATCTGGCTTTGTCCTCATCAGAGCTTGGTTTATGATTCAAGGATAGTCCGTGTTGAACTCAAGTTACGGGTTTTCAGGTAGGTCCCGCAAGTTGGCAGGTCGGACATCCATCCTGCTTTCCTACTAGCGTCAAGCCGTGTTGTTGAGGATAGTCCACTTTGTGGAGCAGTGAAGGGGGTTGGGAGTTGGGGTGACCCTCCAGCCCCGGGGTTGTGGTAGAGCTGGTACCTTCTGGCCACGAGCCTGGGGTCTGTCAAGGTCCAGGGTCTTCCGATGTGGGATAATACGGTGGGCTTTGCATGCGTCTTGTAAGTTTCTTTCGCACCTTTCAGCCCTCACTAAGTGTTTTACCCTCAGCCCATGTGGGCAATATGTGCGGGTGGCTGAAACTGGGAGCAGTGTTGTGCCCTTGAGGGGTTTCCCAAGACTCCTCTCGCCTCTGCCTTGCTTTCTTTGCGTGGCTCATGAGTTGTCATCGCTGGCTTCATGTGTTCCAGCAGCTTAGCCCAGAATTGGTCGAAGATAACTTCTATAGGGCCCATTGTGTCTTTGCTGGGGCTCATCAAGTCGAGTTGAGGTAGCTGCAGGCCGCGTGTAACTGGGCCATACGCGTCCGCCATCTTGGGTGCCTCTGCTCCCGTTTAGCTTGGGAGTGCAGCGAGGTTCATCGAGAGTTATAGCTGTTAGCTCAGTTCGGCGGGGACTGGGATATCCCCCACCGGTCCACGGGGGTGGGAGTGAGTCATGTCCATGTGTGGCTTGCGTCAGCAGAGGGAAAGCGTCCACCTTTCCCCCCCTCGCCGTCTCTGGAAGGCTGCGATCTGCTGACGCGGTTCTCAGGCACTCAGAGCTTTGTTACCGGTACCATAAGGTGTGTGTGGGTCTCCCCCGATTATAGGTCACTTTAGATGGTAATAAAGATTTTTAAAAAATCAGGTTACCTAGAAATACACAAAACCTAAAAGAACTAAGATGTTTTTTTAAAGTGTATTATTATTATTATTATTTTGCTTATCAATTAAACCCCAGACTTTTGCTTTGTAATTTACAAGGTAATTTTTAGTGCTATTGGTCTGATTGATATTCTTGCTTCCTTCTTGGTCTGTTCCTTACTCAAGAGATTTCACTGCCAATTATTTTATGGGTAATTTATGAGTGTTCATTAAGAAATCTGATAAGAGATGCAGGAAGCAAGTGGAATGAAAAATGTTCAAAATTTATGGTGAATTGTGAAAGCATTTTAATGCAGTCTCTGCTTATTAATGTCTATTGATTTTTAAAAGCTGAAAATAGGCACAAATTATAAATGCTGTTACAGCTAGAACATTTCACATTCATGATGTATTCTGAAAAGCAATGCTGTACTTTTGTTTTTATTTAACAGTTGTAATGCTGTATGACCTATTTTGCTGTGGAGGCTGCTAATTTACCATTAGCCATTTAGACCAAAGGTAAACAACTTCACTGTTCTCACCGCTAGTTATTAGTTAGAAAATGCTATTTCTGTATATATAACAATGAAAACACATTTTGTAATTGGATATATGGCCAAAATACAACCCCTTCCCCCCATTTTTTTTTCATTGCTATACAGAGCACCATTTCACATTGTTTTGAATTAACCCTAGAAGCTCCACTTAAGGTCACGACAATATGTTCTGTGAATTTTATATCTCAAAATGGACCAGTCCACTCAATTGAGAACTGCAGGGGTGCATGTAACTACCAAACCTAAATAAAGAGGACATTCTTTGTTGGTATAAGGTGTTTCGGGACCCGTCCTAGATAATGTAAAAGTGTAACATTTGGTCCTTAAGGGTTGCCTTCATGTCTTTATATTTGCGTGGTTATGTAAGAGAAGGCAATAGCCCCATTAACTCCTACCTGCCTGGTATCTTTTAATATAGGTGAGGATTACTGATGAGGAAGCGTATTAATGTATATGATGAAGACCATTAATGCGGTCCCCTCCATGTGTCCTTGGTCTCTCCAGCTGTTTTTGCAAGTGCTGGTCAGCTGAGGAGTTGCCGTGTGCTGCCTTGCACCCACAGGGAATCATTACCAAACGGAACCATGTAAACGGAAACCCTTTCATAAGTTTACATTTATTATAATTAAATACAGTGTAGCTTATTGTAAAGTAGTTATTTCTGGAATGAGTCAGATGCTCCGTAGAATAGCATTAGTATGAGCCATTGTTGGCTTGCATCACATTTTTATTGTTATGTGAATGGGAAACGGAAATCAAGGCTTACATTTTAGAAAACAAACAACAAAAGAAATAATGAGTCAGAGGTATATGCCAATAAAATGCTACTTCATAGGCATAATTCATTATTTGAGCAATAAAACTGAATATAGCATTTGCTGTACTAACAGTCCAAGGACGTTTTCTAATTGTGTCCTGAAACTTTCCTCTTAAGTAAATATAATGAACTGCAACAGCTTGGTTTGACCATTATCTAACAAAGAGCTTTGGCCTTAACATAAAAAAAATTACATAAGAAACTTAAACCCCATCATTAGAAAAAATAAATGAATATTTTTTTTTGAAAATTCTTCATTATAATGTTTGGAACCCTATTTTTGCTTTGTATTGATAATTGTTTAATGTATTCAGCATTTTTACATTATTTGTATTGGTTTTAAAATGTTGGAAAAGCTTTCCAAATGATTACATATTTGTGTATAAACTTACAATGATTAATTGAAACAAAAATAAATTTCTTGATACCTTGCTTTATTTACACTGAACAAAATTATAAACGCACCACTTTTGTTTTTGCCCCCATTTTTCATGAGCTGAACTCAAAGATCTAAGACTTTTTCTATGTACACTAAAGGCTTATTTCTCTCAAATATTGTTCACAAATTGCACACTGACATGATTTCCATAATTGTGGTTCTGTACACCACCACAATGGATTTAAAATGAAATAACCGAGATGCATTTGTAGTGCAGAGTTTCAACTTTAATTCAAGGGGTAAGTGTGGAACACATGGACATCAACAAACGCTGTGTTTCCTTCTTTGTGATGGTTTGCCAGACTTTTAATGCAGCTGTCTTCAGTGGTTGTTTGTTTTTTGCCTAAGTTTTGTCTTCAGCAAGTGAAATGTATACTTGATTGGGTTGAGATCAGGTTATTAACTCAGCATTTGCAGAATATTCCCCTTATGTGAATTAAAAAAACTTCTGGGTTGCTTTCATAGTATGTTTTGGGTCATTGTCCATCTGTAAACTTAAGCAGTGCCCAATCTTCTTTGCTGAATTTGGCTGAATCTGAGCAGACAATATATGCCTATAAACTTACGAATTCACGTGGCTGCTTCTATCTTCTATCACACTAATGACCCAGTGCCACTGGAGCCCATGCATGCCCATGCCATCTCGCTGACACCGTGTTTTACAGATGATGTGGTATGCTTCAGATCACGAGCCGTTCCAGCCTTCTCCATACTTTTTTCTTCACATCATTCTGGTACAGGTTGATCTTAGTTTCATCGGACCAAAGAATGCTGTTCCAGAACTGGGCTGTTTTTTGGCAAAGTCTAATCTGGCCTTTCTATTCTAGAGGTGTATGAATGGTTTGTACCTTGTAGTAAACCCTCTGTATTTGCTCTTGTGAAGCCTTCTCTTAATGATAAACTTGGATAATGATATGTCTACCTCCTGGAGAGTGTTCTAAACTTGGCTGACTGTTGCGTAGGGGTTATTCTTTACCATGGAAAGGATACTGCGATCATCCATCACTGTTGTTTTCCGTGGATGTCCAGGCTTTTTTGTGTTGCAGAGCTCTCTAGGGCGTTCTTTTTTTCTCAGAATGTACTAAACTATTGATGCTACTACTATCTCTCTAATGGATTTTTTTTGTTTTATGTGTTAATATTTAGAAATTCAGTAAGGCCAGTAAGGCACTGCTAATACTTCTTTATTAAAGGACTGCTCCTGCATAGTGTCAAGATTGGGTAACCCCCACACACAGAGTATAGGGAAACAGTAACCAGAATGAATGAATAATAAGAGAGAATGTACGTATACTAGACCTTAGAATGGCTGGGTTAACATATGCCCTAGATAGGCGAAAAATACAGAGTCAAAATAGGAAGCCAAGGTCAAGGACACCAGAGGTACTCGAATACGAAATAACATGCCGAAGTCAGGTAACCAGAAAATAAGAAAAGTCAAATACAAGCTGGGTCGGTGACAAGAAAAACAAATAACTACTACACAGTAAGCACTCTCGGGAAGAATAAACCATGACAGGGCAATCATCTCCAGAAAGAGGAAAGTTTAAATAGGGAGAACAAAAATCTTATTGGACAGCATCATCACCCTCCACCAAATCACACAAAGGGTTGTGACCTGTGAAGGGCAGATGATGTGTCCCAATAATATAGCCTGTCACTTTAATACTATAAAAAGCCTGCACCTACAGGGTCCTGTAATTTCCAAGGACTCCTGTAGGTGGCGCAAGGCTGCCAAAATTATCAGGAAGCTTTGCCAGAAGATAGATCATGCAGGGGCTGCTCTTCACAAGGAGCAACCAAACACCACACAGCGTTTACTGTGGCCAGGACGGCATGGGACTGGAGAGTTTGTGCCTGCTGCGTAGCACCCCCTTGAAGGCATACTAAGGTATAACACATAGTCACACAGATGATGAATTCAGAACATGCTTCCTATATCTCTTCCCAATCTCTCCCTCCAACGAGCCTCCCAAATCTGCCTCCTACTATTGGTGATTCCAGACTCACCCCATTCTTTGGAACTAGAACCCAGATGAGCATGTAAAGTAATTAGACCCTATTACAGGGACTCAACAAGACACTTTTTCCTGGTAAGGGAAGACATTGCAGCCCTTTTAAAATCAAGCCTATTAGCAAAAGACATCTCATATCTGTGTAGAATTTAATTTAGCAGAACAGGAGGTCCTGAGGAACATCCTATCTCCTTTGGACTGGAGTAAGTACTTACCCATAAGAAGAGACTCCAGATCCCTGCATCTCACAACTGGAGGGGAATGATTTTTATTTTTATTTATCTTTTTGCTCTTATCTTTGTTATCTTATTTATTTCATACTTTTTCTCCCTTAACTATCTCTATATATATTCTCTATCTTCTCTTTCTTTTCAGGGAATGTCAATCTTTGAATATTGTTCAATCATAAGATGGAGTACTAAGCTGAATCTGCACCTCAATTATGTTGTTTATTGTTGCTGTTCCTTGCACTATTTCCTCATTGATTTGAGGAATTTCATCATACAAAATGTTTTTAGACTATTATAGATTTTCCCCCTGAAATGATTGACCTTTGGTAAAGATGTACACACCTTTACTATAAAATGTGCCTCTTGGATTTTCAAGGCAGAGTTTAGTGGTGATGGTCTAACTCTCTTGTCTGAGACTCTAGAGAGAATATTGCAGTACTTACCACCGTTATCTTGTTGTTATGTGTCCCTTTTGATGCAGGGGAAAATCAATTATTATCTTTAAACAACTAAAGAAGATTTAAACCCAACACACAGCGTAACAAACTCCACATAATATGTGCAAATCATTTGAGTTTACCTTTAATTAGCTCAACAAATTAATGTTTCTGATTGCCTTTTTTGTACACT